GCAGTGTTGTTGTGGCCATGTCAGTCCCAGGATATTAGAGACACAAGGTGGGTGAGGTAATATTTTTTTATTGGACCAATTTCCGTTGGTGAGAGAGACAAGCTTACGCAGAACTGTTCCTCCTCCTGAAGAAGAGCTCTGTGGAAACTCGAAAGCTTCTCTTTCTCACCAACAGAAGTTGGTCCAATGAAAGATATTACCACACCCATCTTGTCTCTGAAATGCTTGTAGTTAGCTAACATGGAGTCATGCTGTGGACCGCGCATTAGTGCTGCTCTTCAGAATCTACAGAGCCTGGGGAGGGGACAAAAACCTCAGCTGATGACTCCATATAAACAGACTTTAAAATTGTTACTGTATATTAGCCTATAATTGTTTCTTTAGCTAATCCGATATTAAACTATGTTAAGGAGCAGTTTTATGCATAAAGTATTGATTTTTCTTAAATTTTTTAAATGTGTGTAAACCAGGTGGACTTTCACTGCTGGATGTGTGGAAAGAACTGTAATAGTGAGAAACAATGGCAAGGTCACATCTCTTCAGAAAAGCATAAGGAGAAGGTATTCCACACTGAGGATGATCAAAACTGTTGGCAGCATCGGTTTCCAACTGGATATTTTAACATTTGTGATAGGTATGTAGCATTTATATTTGAGATGTCAATGTTGCTCACTCACAATTGTGCTATTGCAAATATAGGCAGATACTATACTTGCTGCAGTTACCTGAGATGAACAGTGATTTTTTTTTGTAATGATACCCATTCTATTAGTATGCATTGTTGAAATCTTATGCAAAGCAAACAATTAAATATCAATATTTTAACATGAATACCTGAGTGACCAGATATTTAGTATATTTTAATGTGTGATGAGAAGGTTTGGCTTTGAGTGCCAGATGTGGAGCTATGTGGAAAGGTTCAAGCCTTTTTGTGTTAGGATGAAACTTTGTGATGTACCAATGCTATTATTTAAACAGCTATTGCTATAAATATACCTCTCTATTTTCCTTAATGAATTACCTGTAGAATACAAGAAATGTATGCAGTCCCACCCACTATTCTCATGTAACAAAGTATCTTGAAATTATGGGGTGTTCTTTGCAAATCACATATTCACTTGTCCAAGAAAATACTGTCACTGGAAGCTATCTATGAAATTCAGGTATGTTCCAAAGGACCCTACACACCAAACTGGCCTGCTGGCTTTCTCAAAGCTGGTTAGTATACTCTACTACCCTGTCTTGTATTCCAGTTTTGGAGCACTCAACCTTTGCACCCAAGCCACTTGGCCTCAGGTGGACAAGTTAACATGCTTTAAATCACTGGAGCCAACCCGGTTGGCTTTGGAGTCTGGGATCTAAGGTTGGAGCTCCAGACTGCAGGCGTTTTTTGTGGCAATATTAAAATCTTCATTTTATTGATAAAGAGAGAAACTAATGATTGTCACAGCCAGGGATTCTGATGATTTTTGGAACAAACTGAATTTAATTGATAGGTTAATATCTTAAAATTTTTTTGGAGGAGGGTGGGTTTGGGCAAAGTGGAGAAATGAGGAGTGGAAGGCCAGAGCTTTGGCTCCTGTCCCCAAAAGACTTCTTCCTTACGTGGTTCTCACTATTAAAGAGGGTAAACTGAACTGATGCATCTTCATTTTAGAGAAAAAATAATCTCTCTCCTAGAGAATTTGTGCTTCTTTAATAAAGGTCTAATTATACCAAAAACATGGCTAGTAGAAAATATTTAAGACCTTTTAAAACCAGATAGTTAATTCGTGATACTTTTGTGAAAACTATAACACACCAATTAATTTTTTTAACAGATATATGGCTGGTACTTGCATTGAAGGAAACAACTGTAAATTTGCACATGGAAATGCTGAGCTCCATGAATGGGAAGAACGAAGAGATGTTCTAAGAATGAAGCTCAGCAAAGCAAGAAAAGACCACTTGATTGCTCCAAATGATAATGACTTTGGAAAATATAGTTTTTTGTTTAAAGATTTAAACTAATACTAAAATGATGCATTCATGTTACCTTATGGAAGCATAAACCAGAAAAATTGACAGTAATCAAAAGCATGTGACAGAAAAGCAGCAGGTTTTCTGTTTATATTGGCATATATTGTTCCTCCTGAACAGCAAAATATAGTAGATGTAGGGGGATTCAGAAGACCTGTCTGTGCTCTCATGAAACAGAATGGTGAAGTAATAAAAAAAGATATAAAGTATTACATGCTTATTCGCCTTCTGTTGGACAGAATGTTATGAAAGAGGCGGAGGAGGAGGGAGAGGTTATAATGTGTAGGAAGCGCCCCTAGTGTTGGTCCTTCAGATGAAAACTTTATGGTAAAATTACAAAACACACGAGGTGTTTTGGGCTAAGAAGAAAATTATGGATGAAAATTCTTTAAATGTTTTAATGGAGAGGATTTGTTTAAAACAAAACTTTGCTATTTATCTCTATGTAGGTTGTTAAAGAGGATTTTCTTATTAAAAAGGATTTTAAGCAAAATAACCATTTAACTACAATATATGTTGAATGGGGTATTTTTTCTCTATTTGTATATTTCAATATAATTTACTGAAAAGGATCTTGGGAGAAAAATGTATTGATTTTTTTGAAAATCAAGTAGTTAAAATTCTGTTTCTTGGTCTTTGCTGTTTAAATGATGATTTTGAAAGATTACACTTGTATGTCAGTATTGTGTATTGTATGAACCAATGTTACCTGTAATAAAGATAACTTTACATAAAGCACGTAGCTTCTGATTGACTTCTATTTTGCACGAAACAGTTACTTGCCCATTAGAAAAATCTTTTGAGCAACTAAATATAAGCAAATATGTTTAGTTTATCTTAAAGTTGTAGCCGATTTCTTAGAATAGTTTGCTTTGGAACGGCTGCTGACAACCCCAAAAGGGCAAATGTTAGGAATAGGTTTTTTACACTGGTAGACAGAGTGGTCACTTATGCCGCACATTGGGCAACACAGATTAGGTCAGAAAGTACATTTTAAAAATAAAGCAGTAAAGCTTGCTTTAGCAGATTATTATTAAGTGTCCACCCCAGAGGAATGGGACAAAGTGCTTTCAAGTTTTGGATTAGAAGCATATGGTTCCCAGCCTCTTGTGTTGGGAACTATCTCTCTACCCTCTCTTTTTTTCCCCTCTTTCCCTTCCCCTCTCTTCCTCCCCCCCCCCAAGTGAATCGTACTTCACAGCCCACTTCAGAGATAGGCCCCATCCAGCCGTGAAAGACCAAAAGAGTTGTACTTTGCTCTGCTCTGAAATGTCACTTCTGAACAAGGTTACCCTCTGGGTCAGAACTATTAAATCTTTCTTTTCTTACTGCATTTTGTCTTTACTGCAGATATGTCTGCCCGTTTCATTCTTGACATTCATTTGTGCTTTTCTTAATCCAGCTCCCCCCAAAAAATCCACTTCCTTTTTAATTTGCTCCTTTATTGGATCATCTGGTTCCACTGGGAAAGCTTTTAAGAATTATTTTAATGGTTTGAATGTGGTTACTGGGATTCAGGCCATAGTTTAGTTCCATACATTTTACATTGTGCAAAATCAGCATGTTCAAGTACTTGCACACTAAAAGCAAGGCTGGATATTGATCTGTCCCTTGTGGTCCATGAAAAAAAGCACAGTGGATTCAGATGATACCTTTAAAAATAGAGCATATGCCATGCATGATAATTGCACTTTACTCTGTGTCCATACAGAAATTACAATAAGGTATACAGGTAACATGGAATATTTGGCTTGTCCCTGAACTACCAGTTGTTAAAACACTAACCTTCATTACACTTGTCTTAGTTTGTTTTAATCAACTTCTAAGATTGAACTAGAACTTCCCTACTGGTCCTGTTCTTTCTATTTGTCAAACATTTCTGCCTCTTTTCTCCTTTCAGTTAACGTACCTACCACCCATATCAACAAGCTGTTCTCCTGGTGCTTGCTCAGCGCATGGGGCTCTCCACCCTTTGTACTCCCTGGCACATACTTCAGGAGGTGAGGGTAGCCTTGTCGCCCGTTTCTCGGGTTTACCTCAAGCACGTCCTCTGGGAGGGTGCTCCCCACCCACCCCAAGCCCTCTGGATCTCTGCGTAGGGCCCTTGCCCCATGAGCCCCCTCGGCCTTCCTACCCACATAGCTGGACCCAGCAGTGCAACCTGCAGCCGGTTTGCCTTTGAACCATGCCAAGGGCACATCTGTACACGCTTGTGCTCCATACTCTCCATTTCCTCACCCTGGTGTCCTGCCCCAAAACTAAGTGGCAGGACCTATTGCCACATATTGAGGGTGAGGAACCCTGGTGGGCCAGCTTATATTCCACCTTAGTCCCACAGTCCACTGGGCATGTTAGTTGGTGGCTCCATCATGGAGCCATGAGCATGGGCGTGTACGTGGCACGGTTCACCCCCATTCTCTATGCCTGTCCCTTTTGCAGTGTGAGGGAGACCCTGGCACACATTTACCTTGAGTGTGCCAGGTTGCAGCCCCTTTTCCGACTCCTAGACCTACTGTTGCATTTTTGCCTACACTTCTCCCTCCACTTGGCCCCCACAAAGCCACGGGACCTCCTTGTCAACCTCCTCCTAGTGATGGCCAAAGTGGCCATCTACAATACCAGGGAGAGGATGTTGGCTGAGGGGATTCTCTGTGACTGTGAAGCCTATTTCTGATCCTCCGTTCACCCATCCGGGCAGAGTTCCTCTGGGTGGCATCTGCCAGCTCCTTTGACAACTTGGAGGAGCAGTGGGTGCTGCCCAGCGTTCTCTGCTTGGTGTCCCCTTCAAGTTCCCTACGTTTGACCCTCTGAAGGTCACTCCTGTCATTTTTTGTGTTGTTCCTCATAATTATTTGAGTCCTGGGCTCAGTGAATCCTCCCCATAGGCTGGGAAGGGTCCTTTAGCTGTTAAACCCAATAAGGTGTTATTTCTTTTATTGTAAGTTACCTTGGATAAGAAACATCACATGAAATGAGGTTGTATAAACAAAACCCCTTTACTGTTAAGTCTCCAACCTTCCTTACACATAGCATGAGTTCATTTTTTGTGGACAGTACTCAAATGGGTAAACGCTTCATAGAAGGGTGCGGTTCAGCTTTTTCACTTGTTCTGGATTTATTCAACCTGTAATATTACAAAAATTAAACAAAAAGAGGGCTTGAAAATTTAGCAAATATCTACTCTGCTGAGACCAATACAAAGAACGGTCTCCACTTTTCCCACGTTGCTGCTCACAGAGGACAAAATAGCAGCTGTGGAAACGGATCAGGCACCAGAGCTGGCTGAAGATTCAGAGGACACTCAACGTGTACCAATGGGTTCACACTTAGGAAGGGTAGCTCCACAACCACAGAGGTTATATGTTTGTTTGGCTTATGTTTAGAAACAAAGCAAGAAAACAAGGGTTTGGTAGGAGTTTCATGCCGCAGCCGGGTGATGGAACAATTTTTATAGTGGGGGGTGCTGAAAGCCATTGAACCAAACTGTAAACCCTTTATATGATGAAAACTACTTCTTGTCAGGGAGCAGTGCAGCACTCCCCGCAGGCCTAGTTCCAGCACCTATGGGCTGCGGGATCCGGCCCGCAAACCCTGTCCACACACCTCGCAGCTCTCAGGGAGGGTCGGTTGTGTTTTGACCATTGTTAAACGGGAAGGAGGCGTGTATCGCCCACTTCGCAGGGACCATGGCCACTGGATAGGCCCCTGGGTTCTGCGGCGAGGTACCCAGGAGCAGCGCCAGGAGTTTTGTCGCCCTAGGCGGGGGTTCTTCCGCGCTCCCGGTCTCCGGGGCACTTCGGCGGCGGGTCCCGGAGCGAGTGAAGGACCCGCCGCCGAAGACCCGGAGCGTGGAAGGACCCCCCGCCTCCGAATTGCCGCCCCCCAAATCCTGGCGCCCTAGGCGGTCGCCTAAATGGCAGCGCCGGCCCTGGACGTACCCCTCATCCAACCCCCGGCGCGCTCCTAACACCTTTCCCATCCATTTCTATTGACCGAGGAGGCCTCAGTTGGGGCCGGGAGCTCCCTTCCCCGCGCTCTCTCAGCGGTTCAGGCGCAGCCTCCCAGGCTCTGCGCTTGGCTGCGGCCAGGCCTCAGCGAGGCGCTTCTCGCAGCGCGGGGCCGGGCCTGTGTGCGCCTGCTCTGCGGGCCTTGGCTGGCGGAGCCCGGGCCGGGGCGGGCGAAGAGACGTGGCGGCGTTGGGTTCGCTCGTGCGCGGCAGCCGCCCCCAGCCGTCCCGCCCCAGGAGCCCCTGACAGGCCGGGGGTAGGGAGACGTGTGCGAGCGCCAGCGGCCCGGCCTCGCTCGTCCGCCCCTCCCCGCCCCGGGCTGGGAGGTGATGTCGTTATGCGGAGGCTCCGGCCACTCCGCTGCCCCTCGGCCCCGGCCCCGTGTTGCCCAGATGTCCCGGAGACCCGAGCTGCTGTGCGGAGCTGCTATCGTGCTGGGCTGCGCCCTCCTGGTCACCCTCAAAGTCACCTGCAGGTAACCGGGCCCTCCGGCCGTGGAGATTCACAAGGGGGCTTCCGGCACAGGTGTGCACTCCGGGGGTGCGATGGGCTCCCCTGGGCGCTGGCATGCACCCCCGGAAGCCTTGCTGGGAGAAGGTGGGGGTGTTGGGCGCTCCCTGGGCACTGGCGTGCACCCCGGGGAAGCTCGCCAGGAGAACATGGGGGGTGCTGAGGGCTCCTGTGGGTACATGCACCCCACGGGGCCTTAGTATGCAGAGTTGGAAGGCTCTGAGCTGTTCTCAGGGTACTGACATATACCTCGAGGCCTTAAATGGAATATATTGGGCTTTCTAAGCATTAGTACTGGTGGTGCACCCAAAGGTACCTAATGGAGAACCTGGGTCGTCCCTCAGATCTTGCACTGGAAGGACATTAGAGTTAACTGTGCTAGGACACTGACAGGCACCAAGGATTCCCTAATGCAGGGGTTCTCAAACATTTTCATAGCATGCAGCATGTTTTAATAAATAATTGTGTTAGGAACACACACTGCCCTGAAGGGGATACTAACCAGCTGCTTCTCTCCTCTGTACACCAACCTGGCTGGTTTAATGTCATTCTGCTATCCACAGGGACTAAATGCATCATTTAATCAAAATGAGTTTTAATAGCTCTGACCCATAGGAACTGCTCTACGAGAACAGATCTATAATCCTTGTGGTCCAGGTTTCAGAGGAAGGTGCAAAAGCTCCCATGATATACCATATTATGCAATACTGTGGAGAGAAAGTTCAGTCCAAGCCTGATTAGCGCAAAGTTTATTTAACTACTTTTGACATGTAATGGAGATTTAGAAGCAATTAGTTTTGCTTCATGTTTGATCTTTGTGGTAACATATGTTCCGTGTGTGTGTGTGTGTGCATGCATGTAGCTTTCATCTTGCTGTGTATGATTAAAATTTTGTTTGGAAGCTCAAAATGCAATCTTAGAAGAACTTGCTTTGGTTTTTATTTCTTTATGCTCTATACATATATTTAGAAGTTTTGACCTTTCTTAGTATATCTATTTAAATATATAAACTAATGACAGGAAGGTAATTCTATTATGCTGTTACCAGAAAAGAAAGTGCAAAAAAGTGTTCAAATAATGTAAATGTGACTTCCATTAAAAAAATTATTTGTGTTTAAATTGATACATGGGAAAGTTGCTGCCTTTACAGCACCAGAAACTGTAGTGTTCTATACAGAGAACAGTACAGACAGTGGCACTGTAGAGTATTCCTTACATCTCTCCCAATGTACTTTATATTTGACCTGGAGGTCTCAACCTGGACCTCTAATGTTGAGATGGTAGTTTTTCCATGTCTGTTTACTCTCGTTTCTTTTCTAAGAAGTTGCCAGCTGGTAGTAACTGTGATCATGTTTTTTATGATGAAAACTTTCAGATCAATAGACAGTGGACTGAGACTTCTAACTTCTTATTTTACTCATAGGTCAACAAACAGATGGTGACTGCTTTTGCTCACTGTCTCTGAGGGTTAAAATTGCATGGGGGAGGTATATTTCATGCCCACTGCTGTTACCCCGCCTCAGTTTTTTTTTTTTTAATTCCCCTATTGGTAGGACCCTATCAAATTCACAGTCATGAAAAACGCATCATGGATCGTGAAATCTGGCCCACCATGAAATCTGGTCTTTTGTGTGCTTTTAACCTATACTATACAGATTTCATGGGGGAGACCAGTGTTTCTCAGATTGGGGGTTCTGACCCAAAAGGGAGTTGCAGGGGGATCACAAGGTTATTCTAGGGGGGCTGCCCTTACTTCTGCGCTGCCTTCAGAGCTGGGTGACTGGAGAGTGGTGGCTGGTGGCCGGAGAGTGGAGGCTGGTATCTGGGTGCCCAGCTCTGAAGGCGGAGCCCCACCACCAGCAGCACAGAAGTAAGGGTGGCAATAACATACCATGCCATCCTTACTTCTGCACTGCTGCTGGCGGTGGCTCTGCCTTCAGAGCTGGGCTCCTGGCCAGCAGCCGCCTCTCTCCAGCTGCCCAACTCTGAAGGCAACGCTGCCACCAGCAGCACTGCAGAAGTAAGGGTACCAGTATCGCAACCCCCCTACAATAACTTTGTGACCCTCCCACAACTCCTTTTTGGGTCATGACCCCTACAATTACAACACTGTGAAATTTCAGATTTAAATAGCTGCAATCATGACATTTGTGATTTTTAAATTCCTATGATCATGAAATTGACCAAAATGGACCATGAATTTGGTAGAGCCCTACCTATAGGACACTTTCTCAAGGAAGGGTGCACAGAGACCTCTTCTGATGCTTGCCATAGTGCAATGGTTCTCAGCCTGGGCGGGGGTCATGGTCTCAAAGCTACTTTCTGGAGCTACAGGTTGTAAACATTTTTTCACAGAACTTAGACTTTCAATTAAAAACAAAAGTATCTGTAGCTCTCTGGCTGCAGAGAAAACCTTTGTAAATAGCTGTAGAATTTAAATTTACTGTACAGGAAGCTGGCAGTGACACCTATATTTAAGTTGTTTATCATCTTTCTTGCGACCTTTACCTTCTGAGAAGCTTTCAGACCTCCATTGTTTGCGGCAGACCTTTGATGATCAGCAGGCGATAACCCTGTGGGTACAGAAGTGCCATTTTTGTCCTTTGAAATTCTGTTAAGCTTTTGTTGAGATATAAGCTATTAAAAATAACCATTTATTTTCTCTTGCCCTCTCAGGAAGACTTTGGCAGCATGCCAAAAGAATAACTAAAAACAATTATTCTAAGCCTGGCCAGCACACATTGTTCTGAAAACATCTGGGAACATCTGGAGCTGCTGTAGCAGGGTAAAGAGAGAACGAGCCGGGCTCCTCTTCTCTCCCTCTCACAACCTTAGCCCGATACATGGCTCATGTTCCCCTCTCGGGGCACTACAAATAGCAGGAACCCTCCTACCTCCTCCAGTAGTAGGGTAGAAAGAGAGAGCCGAGTGGGCTCCCTCTAACCATCCCTGGACCCAGCACGTGGCTGGGGATGCCACATGGCACAACAGTTTCCCCCACAACTGTTGGTGTGAAAGGTGGAGGGAGGAGACCTCAGCTAGGCTCCCCTGGAGCCAGCACCTGGACACAGCAGTCTATCCCCTTCTGCTGGTGCCAGCTAGAGTATCTGGTCCTGTAGCTCAAGTGGTAGCAATCTGTGCTGCAGCACTGCAGGCACACCTTTCAAATCCTCTTGCTGAGGCATGGTGGGGAGATTGTCTCAGTTGCACATAAACTTGTTTTTACCTTTATTCATTTAAAAAACACCCAAGTGCCGCAAACCTAGGAAATCACAAATGAAAAACTACATTAATAGAATGTTACTTAGGATGCAAAAATCAAGCATTCAAAAGTTAGGAAATGTCAGATTTTTGGTTGTCTGTGCAATCTTGAATCTGTTCCCTTGTGTTGATGTTTTATGGTACAGTCTTTAATTTTATCTTCACATGCTATTTTTTCCCAAGGACCTTGTTTCAGTCAGTGCATCAGTTGGGTGCACAACAATGAATTAAAGTTGCACAGACAAGTATAACTCTGGTATTTCCTAATCTTTGAGTGCTTGACTATGCAACTTAAATAATGTTCTTTTAATGTATTTTTGTACACATGGAATATATATATGTATATACTTGCTTTAGAGAGTATGCAAGTCATGAGATGTTCAGTACTAATGTAGAAATTGTATTTTAAAATCTATTGTACAACAACTATTTATACTGAATAAGAATGCCAACTTTGGTTATATATGACAAACAAAGATTAAAAATACACCTCTACCCCGATATAACGCAACCCGATATAAGGCGGGTTCGCATACAAGGCGGTAAAGCTCTGACAAGCTGCTCTGAGCAGCGTGTTAAGGGTGCTGGGCCAGGCTGGGGCCGAGGGGTTGGATAAGGGGCAGAGGGTCCCGGGGGCGGTCGAGGGCTCCCCTTCCCACAGGGTCTGGGAGGCAGGAGCTGTGGGGGGCACTTTTGGGGGCCCCACAGTCCCAGAGTGGGCCCTGGGGATTAGCGGGGGGCCGTGAGCAGCCCTCTCTGCTTCCCTCACCCCGGCCCCAGCCGTGTTGCTCGGGGGAGGGGGTTGGGGGAAGGGATCCCCCCCCGCACTCACCGGCAGCAGTGGAAGCGGAGCAGCCTGGCCCCAGCCCGCTCCACTCTGCCATCTCCCAGCTGCGGCGCTCCGCTTCCCACTGCAGGTGAGCGTGGGGGGGGCCTCCTTTCCCCAACTGCCCCGCACTCACCAGCGGCAAGAAGCAGAGCGCCGCGTCTGGGAAGTGGCGGAGTGGAGTGGGCTGGGGCTGGGCTTCTCCGCTTCCCGCCGCTGCCAGTGAGTGCCTGTCAGGGGGTGGGGGGTGTGGATAGGGGTCAGAGCAGTCAGGGGACAGGGAGCGGGGGGTTGGGTAGGGGGTGGGATCCTGAGAGTGATTAGGGACGGGGGTCTCTGGAGGGGGTGGTCAGGGAACAAGGAACAGGGAGGACCAAAGCAAGTTCGATGTAACGCGGTCTCACCTATAACACGGTGAGATTTTTTGTCTTCCGAGGACCGTGTTATATCGGGGTAGAGGTGTAATGTGTTAGAACATAGTGCTGTTTTTTGTACTGAAACAGGACAAAAGATTCTTGGATATGGGGTTGTTGGAGAAAAAAAGTGGATGGTTTTGCCATAGTATTTCCAGCAATATAGTTCTAATTAGTTTCTCAGTACATAAGAACGGCCGTACTGGGTCAGACCAAAGGTCCATCTAGCCCAGTATCCTGTCTACCGACAGTGGCCAATGCCAGGTGCCCCAGAGGGAGTGGACCAACAGGCAATGATCAAGTGATCTCTCTCTCCTGGCATCCATCTCCATCCTCTGACAAACAGAGGCTAGGGACACCATTCCTTACCCATCCTGGCTAATAGCCATTAATGGACTTAACCACCACGAATTTATCCAATTCTCTTTTAAACGCTGTTATAGTCCTAGCCTTCACAACCTCCTC